TGATCAAAATTATACCTCAGAATGAGGCGAGACTTTTCTCTCACATATTTTGCGCATGTTGTTAGAAGGGGCAGGTTGCTGGAGAAAGACATCAGGTTTGATAAAGCAGAGACCAGAAGGAGGTGGGGGGGTGGGGGGAGAAGGCCCTAAATGAGATGGAATGGCAGCGGGTTTAAAAGCAGCAGTGAGTGCAGGATGGTGAAGCACTGGGCAGGGTTTCATTCTGTTATAAGGAGGGTCGGTAGGAGATGGAGCCAACTCGGTGGTCGGTAGGAGATGGAGCCAACTCGGTGTCTAACTATATACTTGTGCCCAACAAATTTTAACTGACTTTCAGAAGTCACTGGGCTAGACATTTATTGAAATAGTATAAATGTACAAACCACATATACATCCACTGAATCCTAACAGTCCTGCAGCAGACCTAACTCAAGACAAATAATATAATTCTAAATACAAATTGTTTAACCATAAGGACTAAGAAATAAAGTGTTTAATTTCTGACATGTACTATTATCAAAAGCCCCAAATAATCTTAAATGAGACAGACTTGAGCTCTTCAATTCAGAAGTGCCAAAACAGGGGATTAGTGTTTGAGCCAACAGGTTTCTGCTAGTAGTGTTCAACTTAAATTCTTCCCCTTCCACCCACTTTACTTCAACTTGGGTAAACCCTGTTTGTGCCTAAAGGAGTGGCTGTTCCAGCCCACTCAATGGTGCCCCAAACAAAAGACTTGGGCATTTGTTTTTCTAATAATTGTTGCCAATTGCCGTTGAATTGATTCCATTTAGGATGACCTCCTGTGTGCAGAGTACAGCTGCTTCATGCAATTTTCAGTGTTCTGACTTTTCTGACCTTACCAGGATTTTCTTCCAAAGTATCTCCAGGTAGGTTTAAACTATTAACCTTTTGGCTCACAGTCGAGTGAGCACTTAATTTGTATTACACAGAAATTTCTTCTGTAAAGATTCGTCTGTAAACAATCACCACCCCCCGCCCCCCCCAAAAAAAATCTCCAAACGCCTATGAAGGAAGCTGTTAGGGAGTTCTGGTGACCTAGTGGGTAAGAGCTTGTGCCGTCAACCCAAAGATAGGTAGTTCAAACCCTCCAGCTGCACAGCTCCACAAGAAAAAGACAATTTTCTGTGCAATTTAAAGTATGAAAACCTGCGGGAATGTCCGCTCTGGTTTGGTTCTGACTGGATGGCAATGAGAGAGATTTTTACACGCTGTAACATAAGGGGTTGCCTGGCCTCTTACGGAGCAGTTACACGTTGTAACATAAGGGGTTGCCTGGCCTCTTACAGAGCAGTTACACGCTGTAACATAAGGGGTTGCCTGGCCTCACAGGCAACCCTGTGGCAATGGGTTCTTTAGTCTGTCCTGCTCTACACCATATCCTCACTACCAAACTTCTCTTAGATACCTCAGAATTTTAAAACGTCAGTGGAACAGGAATTGTACCAATTAATAGGCCAAGCAAAGACAAGCAGAAACACAAGTAACTAGGAGATTTAACTAAGAAAAAGAAAAATGGCCCTTGGAAAATGTGAAACAGGATCGAAGCTGCTAAAATTCAGAAATGTTAAAAAAAGCTATTATAATTATATTAAGAAATGGTCTTGACTTTCTTCATCCATTTAGACCTCTATGTCATTTGTAAAGGACCACATATCGTAGTCATTGCACTGTCAATTTGTATTTACTCTCAATTATCCAATAGGGCTTATCTCCCCCATCACATATCCACAGCTATCAAATTCTCCGGAACTGGAAAAAGTGCAGACATTATGCTTTTCAATCTCTGTCTTTCTTTTGGTTTTCCTTCAATGCATCCATTTTTTTAAAGCCATAATGACACAGTGATTCAGTGCCCGACTGCTAACTGAAAGGTCAGTGGTTTGAACCCACCAGCGGACCTGAGGTGAGGCTGAAAAGACCTGGTGATGTACTTCCAAACCAATTAACAACCTAGGGACCACAATAGGGCAGGTCCACCTGTCCTATACCGTGGTCTCTATGATTTAAATCAACTCGAGGGCAAATAACAAGGCATGGTCCAGTTAGAAAGTGGTGATTTTGAGAGTCAGTGGAGAAAGACTACTTATGCTTAAATCTACCTCTACAACTCAACAGCTGGGCCATTTGAAGCAGAACTCTTGGTCTTTACCGATTTCCTCACCTGGAAATCTAAGATAACAGTATTCACATGGGATAACTGTGATATGCAAGTGAAGTAATTATCACACTGACAGACACACAGAGGAAAGTGACCAATAACTTATCTATTGTCATATTGGTGCCAAATTATTTCTGTATCCAAGAGTTACACTCAAACTTTAACCCACCTTTCAGAAGAAATTTCAGAAATACTATATGAAAAATTTCCTTTAAGTCAGAGAAATTTAGGGAGGAGGAAGGGCATATAGTTAGTTCACTGAGGGCTTCTTATACAACTTTTTAAGTATAATTCATCCTGAATAAAAAGAAATATTAAGAAAAATAGTGCATTTGACTTCCAATTCTTCCTGGTACTCCTGAAGAAAAAAAGATATGCTACTTCAGCCATCTCAAAGAGATTGGTCACAAATCCAAAAGTCAAGTCGTTTTCCTCTTAACAATTATTCAGCGTTGAGAGGCCTGAACTTTCTCTTTGTGTTTGGCTTTAAAGTCTTATCTATCTAGTGTAAGAACAACTTTATCCCTCCACTACAAAAGCACTTTATCTCTCTAGAACACCTTGGGGGAGGGGGTGAAGGAAGGGTACCAGATGGATCTTCCCCCTGTGGAGATAGCAACATCTTTCTTCTCAAAGCTTCACATCTGCAGTTTCTTTAATACAACATCACAATCCTCTTTTGAACACGTAAATCTTCTAGACTACAGCATGAATTCATCAGTATTAATTAATTTCACAGTCACAGACAAGAAATCAACTGTAAATTTTACTCCATTTTATTTTCAGTATTCAAAGACAAAATACAAACTTGATTTTGAACTACAAACTTGGAAAGGCATAGCTTCATCAAGCACAACTGAAAAGCTCAACTTTAAAAGAATGCAGTATATGTACTTTATATACTGTAGTATAGGAAATATTAAAACATCATAAAGGAAGAAAATTATCAGAGAAAGCTTTCAACTCTAATTCCTGTGTTTAGGAATTTTAATGTCCACTGAAGTCCATTAACTAACTTTTATAGCTTTTGGACAAAGAAGCATTCATTAGTGAACAACATCTAAAAAGAATTTACTTCTTTATACTAGTGGTAACCAGGTGATACCATCCCAATCATTACTTCAAGAAGTTGACAACAACCAACTTCAAAACAAACAAAACCAACAGCACAATGAATAAATTCATTGTGTAGAACCTGAAAGCTTACCTTAGATTTTTAGCCATCTTAAAATGCCATATTTATGAGCATAAACATATTTTACTCTTAACCTATCAACACATTTCCTTGAATTGAGTATTTCTAAACACTGACTTAGAAAAAAAATATTTTGCAAGTACAAGTACATATTTCTTTAAAATATCCCAGCAAGACTGATATAATACATATTTCTTCAAAGTATCTCAGCAAGACTGAATTAAATTTTTTCACTTTAATGTCAACGTATAGAAACTTGGGAGCAAAACACAAGTGTCCCACCTGCTGCCCTTGAAATAAAAAAAGGGGGGGAGGGGAGTTCAACAAGCTACATAGTTGAGGCAAATTCTCTAGCAGAAAAAGAAATTATAGAAAGCATTCAAAGGGGAATACTAGCTGAAAGCAAAGATCTGAATAGCGGCCTAAAAGCAGCAGAAATTCTAATCTATGGTCTCAGCTCTTACCCTTGACAGCACAGAACAGAATATCCTGTCTTACACATTTTGGAACTGCAATTCTGAAATGCAAAATCCAAAGACAAAGCTGCTCTGGGGAAAATAACAATTGCGCAACAGATCAACAGCTCCAACTTGTCCCTTGGCCCCGGAGCAGCGAGGTTTGCACGCTATAAGGCAGGAAAGGGCCAACCGAGGGCCACCGTGACAGCCAACTGGCCACTATCAGCAAGGAGACCGAGGCGAGGCCACACACTCGGGCGGGAGCCACCCGGAGGCACCGTGCCCAGAACCAGATGTTCTGGGAGCAATGGCCTCGGCCTTCACAGTCTGAAGACCCCTGCCCGCCGCCCCCCCCCCCAGCACCCAATTCTCATGACAGGTTACTTGAACCTGCCTGGCGTCCGAGAGCCTCAACTTCCCTCTTGCCTACGTTACTACAAGTCGGGGAACAGAGAGCGATGGGCGTTTCATGACCTCCCCCCAGGGGTGCTAGGCTTCCTAACTTTAAGATGCCAGAAAATGATCTGATGGATGTAACATCTTGGTTATTTTACAAAACAGCACCCAAAGACCGCCCAGCAAGGTGAGCGTGCAGCGCAGCAACCCCGCAGTTCAGTGGTAGAAAATGGGGTGGGGACAGTGGCAGCGGAGGGGCTCTGGGTCACAGACCAGCAAAGACCTCAGCTCCCCCGAGAGTGGCCCCGTGACTAGGCACATTTTTTTTTTTTTTGCGGGCTCCGAGGCGGGGGCGCGGCGCAGGAGCGGAAGGACCGGGGCGCGCCGGCTCAGGCCAAAGCCGTCCACCCCCTCCTGCTCCGCCGCCCGGGAGGCCGGGGAGCAGGTCCTGGCTCCCGCGTTCCAGCTTTGGGGGCTGGCCAGTGATGTTTCCTGCCTCTACGCATGGGAGCCACTGGAGACTCTCCCCACAGCGGCCACGCTGTCGGTCGGGGCACTCAGCCGCGTCCCACTCTCCTCCAGCCCCTGGGGTCCCCTTTCCTCCCCACCGGCCCTGGCGCAAGCGCAGCTGCTCCAGCTCGCGGCTGCTGCAGTTCCGGCTCTGGCCACAGATGGGAGGAGAAGCGGGCAGCGGCTCTCCCTCCCGGGCAGCGCTCCCCTCCTGACCCAGCCGCCGGTCCTGATCCTGATCCCAGAGGGTATGGGGCAGCACCTGCTGGGACGGCAGTTCCGGTGACGGCAGCTCCAAGTCCATCATGTTGAGCGGAGAACTGTGTGCGCTGTGGTGCTTCGACGGTGGCCCTGTTCCGGCTACCGAAGCACGCACAGGGCGGCACTGGTGGCGGCTCCTCGGGGCTCCCGGCTCCCGCTGCTGGGCAACACGGCCCAAGTCGCCTGCAGTGTTCTTGCTCTTGCCCCGCTCCGCCTCCCGCCCTCCGAGGGCGGGGCAAGAGCACGGGGCTCTTCCTTGCCCGGCTGGCTGCGCAGCGTGAGCCCCGAAAATCCCCCACCCCCGCCCAGGCTGACGCAAGAGGCTTGTGGTCCGGGCGGATGGGGCAGCCGGCTGGGGTCCCGGCGGGAGGCTACAGGCCGCTCGCCTGAGTGCTGAGAAAAGGCCTCCTTTAGCTTCTCGTAGCCTCGCTGGGTTTGCTCGCGCTCACAAATAAAACCGAGCTCTCTGCCCCAGGGATTAGGGCTTGTTTGCCCAAGGTCGCTCGAGTTCGGGCACTTTGAAACAGTTTAAACACCTGGAACAAACACGCCCTGAGACCGGGCAAAGGCACGGATATCAGAGTCGCACCTCATAGATTTAAGTTGTAGAACCTTGCCCCGCTTTATCTCATTCACCACCCAAGAGTGGCGCCAGTGCAGGGTGCGGGACTACAGGCTGGAACCATGGCTGTGCGCCCCGCGAACTGCCCTCTCGCCCGCTGTTCCCCCCAAGGGCGAGGCCAGATGGGGCCCTGCCCAGAGGTGGGAACCACACCGGGACCTCCTGCTCGCAGCCGCCCAAACACCCTTTACTTACGCCCTCGCATTCTCGCTGGGGTCACATCACCAAGGTCAAAGGGAAGAGCCTATTTTGGTTGGAGAGTGGTCAATGTTGCCCACCAAAAACTTCCTCTTCCCCAAAAGTTTTCTCTTCATAGCATACCACAGATGCTGTTCTTCGACTACAATATGCCACAGTTCTTAAGTTTCTTTTTTCCTTTATCCATAATATACTTTTTGTTTGATTTTTAAAGATGAAAAGGATACCAAAATTTAATGGTTATATGATTGATTATGCTTTTTTTATAATTTTTTTAATTATGTTGTGTGTGTGTGCGTACCGTCAAATCAGATCTGACTGGTACAGGAGGAGACTGTTTCTCCTTCTCCAGCAGAACATCTGGTGGATTTGAACCGTGCACCTCTGGGATTGCAGTACAGCTTCTTGCCACTAGGCCACCAGAGCCACCTGATTATGCTTTTTACCGATTAATTTTAGGACGCTCTTGTGGCCTAGTGGTAAGGAATGGAGCTGCCAACCCAAAAGTGGGTGGCTCTAGTTCTATGGCCATTCTGAGACTTACTGCCTCTGAAGATCTGCTGAAGGGTCACCTATGAGTTGGTTCCAACTTGATAGTGTATAACAAATATATATATATATACACACACACACACACACACACGAGTATATGTATTATTATATATTAATATATATAACAATATACACACAACTATCGGCATTTATCAAAGTTCATAGAGTTTCTGGAGGCATGTTATTTAGGAAGTGGATATATATGTGCTACATAGTAAATAAGGAAGACAGAAGGTAAACTCATGCCTCTGAACTGTGGTATTATTGAACACTGAATATATCACTGACTGCCAAAAGAACAAACAAATTTGTCTTTTAAGAAGTACAATTCTCAAAACAAGTAAGAGATATCATCTCACCCCAATAAGAATAGCAACATTTAACAGAACAGCAAACATCAAATGCTGGTGAGGTTGTGGAGAAACTGGAACCCTTATTCACTGTTGGTGGGAGTGTAAAATGGTGCAACCACTATGGCAGGCTGTATAGTGCTTTCTCAAAAAGTTGCAAATAGGTATACCATTTGACCCAGCAATTTCACCGCTGGGAATATTCCCTAAATAAACCAGAAGTGCCACCCAAGCAGATATATGCACACCCATGTTTATTGCTACTTTATTCACAATAGCAAAAATTTGGAAACAACGCAAGTTCCCATCAACAAACGAATGGATAGAGAAGATATGTTACACTCACACAATAGAATACTATGCTGCAGTGAAAAACAAAGAACTCATGAAATACTATTCAAAATGGATGACCCTGGAGGACATTATGCTAAACTAAATATCTCAGTCACAAAAGGACAAATACTGCATAGTGCCACTGTTGTAAAACAGGACTAACATCGGTGCTGAGGGGAAACTGAGAAAGAGGGCACAAATAATGTATACTGCATTGAAACAGATGAGGGAGAGAACTTTTTAAAAGCAGTATATGATTAGGTATTATCATCATGACAGGTGTCCAGAATGAAGGCTGCATAGTGGAGTGGAGTTGTGGGGGGGGGAGGGATTGTATAACATTGAAAGAATTTTTCTTTTACTTTTTGAAGAGTCACTTAGGGGGGGTGGGTAGGGAGAAAAATGCAATAATGAATGAATGGAAAATAAAGTATCACTGATTTAATGAAAAACCAATATGCTTTGTAAACATTCACTCAAATAATAAGAAAAAAAGTCTTTTAAGAAAGTATAATTCTGTGCTTGCTTCAGCACTATATTGGAATGATACAGAGAAGATTATTAGCATGGGCCCTGTGCAAAGATGACACAGATTTGTGAAGCATTCCATATTTTTTTTTAAAAGAAGTACAATCTCATGGTACCTAGCAAAAACAACTGTATAGAGTAGATCTTAATCTCTTATTTTTAAAAAATACTAATCTCTTTTGAGATATTAGAGAAATTAAACAAGCAAGTAGGGAGTAGCAGAGATGGGGGAAAGAGAGATGTTAAACCTCATGAAGATCAATCTCCCAGGAGCTGTAGAGAAATTGTATTAGAGGTGGTATCTTGAATTCAAACTGCTATCCTCCTAAAAAGAAGCTCTGATGATTTATTTACTGGTAAGGAGTTGTGCTGCCAACCCAGATGCACACAGTTCAAATCCACTTGCTGCTCGGTGGGAGAAAGATGGGCAATCTACCTCTGGAGGACTGGAGGGTAAGTTATGGACCCGACACCAAAGCACAATAATAATAATAGCCTTCTAAACTGTGAGAAAATAATTTTCTGTTTGTTAAAATCAACCAATTTTAACTTTAATTGGGTGTTACAGCAGCACTAAATAAGATAATCATTTTTGCATTTAAAAAATTATTATTTCAAAATCACTGCCCACAGGAAAATTCAAGTATTTAAAAATAGCAACAAGGGAGCTCTGGTAGCCGAGTGGCAAAAACTGCGCTGCAGTCCCAAAGGTGTGGGCTTGAAAAAGGAGGTGCAATGTCCTCCTGTGCCTCTTGGATCTGATTTGACAGTACACAACAAGAAAAAAAAAAGCAACATGGTGAAATCATAAGATTTAAAAGGGAATAGTAAAATGTTTCTGATTTTGCTCTCATTTTTGTATTATTATTTTATAACTCTCTTGGCTTTCCCATTTCTTGTTTTTCTGGAATTATTCCAAATTAAGTGAGAAGTAGCATCAATGTGGTTTTATTATTAAAAACTTTACCAAAAAGAAAAAAAAATTAAAAGCTTGACTATAGTTCATCAATGCTAAACTGTAAAGAACTTGTTTTTCTGTTGGTTAAATAATTTGACACTCCCATGATCTACCTGTAAATTTATCTTTACATACTTGTGATACAGGAGCCCACATGAATAACTGTAGTTGGAATAAGCATCTTTAACCTAAATCACACCCTTCCATCTCTTATTTGAGTCGGCAGTAAGAGCTACACACTGAAAACACTCTTAGGAGCAATTATTTGCAAAGAACCTGAAATGAAATGTACAAAGACATAATGCTAGCCAACCACTGCCATCAAGTCAATACCTACTGATAGAGACCCGCTAGCATGCTTCTGAGATTGTAAATCTTTACGAGATGAGACCACTCATCAGTTTCCTGAGGAGGAACTAGGGGATTCGAACTGTTGACCCTTTGGTTGCCAGCAAAGAAGAGTATACTTTTTTTTTTTTAGAAGAGTATACTTTTAACAATTAAAGTTACTTGTTAAAACTATTACATTAGAGAAGGCAGACAATGAGTCCAGGAGGTGGGAGCTACAAAGGTCATATATGACATCTTTGTTGCCCTCAAGGAGTTCATGAAGCATTTGGTATTTCCTTATTAAGCAACAAAATTCCCATTGAGTTTAGTCTGGATGAAATAACCTTTATTTTTACAAAACGGCAATTTCCTGGGAGTGTATTATTTCAGACACCTGAAGAGTACATATTTTCAAAGGGAGGAGAACAATATGATAAGAGTCTGAACATGTTTAAGAAATATAAACACTAAGGGAAAGCTGTTTGGCATTGAACAAAAAAAGGGAACCTTGGTTTCAGATCATTCATATCAAGGAGGTTTTCAACCCTTGCAGACTCTGAAATAAAATTGTCTTCATTTGAGAGCCTGGTCCTTACTTAGACTCAAAACTTACGTACTGTGCTCTGGGGCAGAAATACTGCATGTAGAGACACTATATGGAGCAGCAAAGGCAAGGTATTTTTTACTCTCCTTTGTCCAGGTACCATGGAAGCACTTTTTACTGGAGTCTCTCCTAGCCTATATAGGTAGACATACTCCTGATTGGTTTTAAATTTGATGGACTCATGCTTTCCTATTGAGACCTGAATACTTTGCTGTCTTTAGAAAGACAATTCTCCATATATGTTCAACTGTGTAAGAATAATATTTTACTCTAAAACTCACTTCAAATAAACCTTCTGAGTGTACAAAGTTAGAATAAAGGGGGTGCCTTCATCCATTTATTTCATTGACTTTTCCATGTTATAACCAGGGCAAGAATTTTAATTTCCCCATGATATACTGAATCACAATATCAAATTTAATGTACATTTGTTGTTTTGTTATTGTGAGTCATTGAGTCACAAGTAAGCCATAGCTTACCCTCAGATGAGTTTTCAGAAGCAGTTCATTTCACAGGAGGAGACTGCCCATCCTTTTCCTGTGGAGCAGATGGTTGATTTGAACTGCCATGCATGTTTCAGAATTGGGAAGGGTGTGCGTCAAGGATGTGTGCTATCTCCATAGCTTTTCAATCTATATGCAGGACAGATTATCTGGGATTCTGATCTATGAG